CAATCAATCGATCGATCGATCGATCATGAACCACAATTTCCGTATTCTTTGAGCTTCTCTACTGTGTTATTTTATCGATAATTTTGAAACAAACGGCGCCCCATACACTGACATCTGTATAAACATTGATTGAAAACAATAAGTCCAAATTAAGTAAAAAAAACAACTGATATACTTATTTTTTAAATAATAAAACATTCATTATTTTGCATTTAAATAAAATAATATATTCATAAAATTTGCATTTGAATGATTGTAAAACAGACAACCAGCCTACCAATAAAAGTCAACTTTTGAAAAATACATGTATTACACAGGAGACACCATCACTTTATCTGCAAAAACATACCAGTATTATCATGACATTTATAGCTCTATATTTACCATTATTATAAAACAGCAACTTCTTCCTAACACTGATTAGATCTACAAAAAATAATTAAATTATCATTTTAAAATTTTATAAACATAATGTTGCATCAGTAATATTTTTATCTATACATGCAGGAAGAAGTTTATTATTATTGTAAGGAGTCCATAATGTGTACTCCTGTTATTGTAAAGAGGGTATACTTCCAGGGTCTAATTTTAAGAGTGACGTTAAAATGTTTGCGAAAATTCTTATTCATAAAAATTATACTAATAATGGTTAGTAAACAAAAACACAAAAAAAATTTGTTGCAAATAGATTGAAAGGTAATTTTCATGAAATATTTTTTCTAGGGAATAATTATATCTACCGCATAATAGTATATACCGGTATTAAAAATACAGATATTGACACATAATTAATAAGTTAATCCTTACTTTTGAAACATTTATTGACATATCCTGCAATTTATATCCCTGATTTCCTTTATTTTCTGAATAATTTTGATATTCAATTAAAAAAAGAAACTAACTTCTGAAGCATAAGTTCCATATACAGCACAGAATTATAATAACCATTAAAACTAAACCAACACCACAAACTGCAGTAACAACACTTATAATGATAGCTATAACAAAAATAAAACGACAAATCTGTATTCAATGACTAACTTTTTGGCAGAGCATCAGTTGGTAATGAGGTAGGTGTGCCACTAGGTAATGAGGTTGATGGTGTTGATATGCTACTAAATAATGATGTTGATATACCACCAGGTATAGATGTTGATATATCACTAAATAATGAGGTTGATATGCCACTTAATGGTGAACTGGTCATCATAGGAAGAATATTTGTATCTACATGAACATTAATTTTAAAAATTATTACATAATGCTCAAACTTACCAAATGCTAGTATAAATGGCACACTACTATCAATCTCATTATGAAAAATAATACTGAGAGTACACTTTTGATGTAGTGGTACTAGTACTGATTCTATTATATTCAGTGAATTAAAAGAGTTCTCTACTGGTATAGTATCATCATAATATACAACATTTTCATTACACTGTATAATAACAGTAACGTTTTCAGGGGCTTCAACAGTACATTCTGATGTAGTCTATAATAATTGTAATATAAACTCATTTAAATAGTATTTCTTACTGATATATTGAAGTGCAAAGTAACATTAGTCTGAGTGTAATCACTAAAGGACCAATTAACTAAAGGGACTGTGAAGAAAAATAACTTATTATACACATTATTCATACACAACCTCTTTGATAATAAAAACTGATATTATTAGATGAACCTATTCCAACGTCATTAATAGGAGAAACTGATACATTATTTGGTATACAAGGATCAGGATTAGTAGCTGATAATATAATACTCTTGTTAGTAGTAGTAATGTTCACTAATCCATTGACTATATAGTATCCAGTGATAGGTACATTATCCAGTGTATAAGGAGCTGTCCATGTTAATAATACACTGGATCCATTAATAAAGGTATAATCCAGATCAACAACACTATCCAATAGACCTGAAGGAGAAATAATGATGAATATAATTATAATACGGGACCACGCTAACCTTGTATCATTAATACTGTTATGTTGCTGAACTGTAGCTGAAGTGGATCATAAGTAAGAGCTCTACACCTCACTTCAGTATTATTATTATAATCATAAGCTATTGCTTGTAGCTCTGCTCTTATAGTACCATTATGATTGTCTGTTGTCACTCTAAATCCTTTAGCTATAACAGTGTCAAGAGTTGCTTTCTTGATTATTAACTGTGAAGGAAAGGCCGTCAGCC